CCTTTGAAAGTAAAGACAGTATAAAGGAAAAACGAATTCCTCTTATCTCTCTGCTTTAGCCTTGTGGACTGTGCAGTAAATGTGCATCAGCTTGCATCCATAGAGAGCGTCATCCTGAGTTGTCCATTTCTGACAGAACTGGAGTAAGTAGTCACATTTCAGTATTTAACATGAGCATGTACTCTGTAGTACTCAAGGGAAATAAATGAGTAAAAAAAAATATGTTTGTTCCCATTCAGTTTTTCCCACAACAGCCTCGGTGTAGAGGGAGCTGAGTTTCTCTGTTCTGTTCTTCCCCGGTTGCCCAATCTCACTTCACTCAGGTCAGAACCTTTTCAAATTTGACCAACGTGACTTTTAAAGGTCTCCTATAACAACTATTTTTTCTGTCATCCACACTATTGCTTCCAAAGAGAGTGATGTGACTGTGCTCGAGACATTGTCACAGGTCTTCCTGCAGCCTAACACAATTCAGCACTTAAAGTGAGCAACGCATTTTAGAACTTGTCCGAAGCACTTTTAGAACATTAATTTTCAATTCTCTTATTGATTCATTCATTTAGCAACACTCCACTGGACATTACAAATACCTACATGGCCAATGCTCCATTCAGGATATCTGGGAAATTAGAGCATTCATAAAAATAATAATGATAATAATATAAAAAAGCAGCTGTGGATTGCATGATTCCAAAACCTTGAAAAGTTGGCCATATCTCAGATTGTCATAACTGCTGTTAGGATTTTATAATGTCCCCAATTTAAGGAGGAATTATAACACTTTCCTCTGTTTTCCTTTGTTCGGTCACCATCAGTACTGCTAAAGACTGCTCCACAGCGCTACCTATAGTGCTGTGCAAAAGTAATGAGCCACCCATTATTTCTTTGTAATATGTTTCCAGCAAACCAGATTTTCTTGTACCTGAACGTTTTAATAGGAATGTTTTTTATTCAGCCATTTAACACTGACTCATGGATTGTTCAAACGCAGAAAAGACACTCAAGGTGAACCAGTGCTGTGCCTACACATAAAACTTTGTAAAGAACTATTTTCATTTTCATTACTAGCAGCCTGGAGCATAATTTGTTCTCGTTTAGTTGATAAATGTCAAAGCTAGCACAGTTTCAAAGGCATAAAACAGTATTTTTCACTAATACGGTAGTTCCCAAAGAGCTTTTATATGTATTTAACAAGTGTAGTGAAGACGTGGAGGAAGAAGTGACAGGCTTCTAAGCCATTCTTAGTGAGGCCCAGAATAAAGGCCCAGTATGATAAATAAACACCTTTCCCTTCACACCCCCTGGTGAACTGTTTTCATGATCTTCTGTGAACAGGTGGATCCAATGTAGAGGCTCACTGCTCAAAGTAATGTGAAGTAATTAAAAGTGATGCAGTAAATTACTTAATTTCTCACCAAAGGAAGGATTTGTTACAATATTCGTTACATTACATTCATGTTACTCTGTATAATGATCTAAATGCATTGTCACCAGTGTTGGGCAAGTTACTTTGAAAAAGTAATTAATTATAGTTACT